TTGCTGTAAAAGTTAACGAGTGTTTTAGCCTGTTGAAGCGCAGATAATTTTCCAAAAATGTGACATACATATCTGAATGTGAAGTTAGTATTGTACTAATAATTATAATCAAAGCTGCATACATGTAAACTTGGAAGACAAACATTTACATGCATTTCTTTTTTCTTGAAACTTTTGATAGTTTCAGCTTACTTGCCTCAGGGGTAAGGGCGTTTGATCTGAACTCTGGCCTCATGGGGTAGGGATATTGATGCCTTTTGACCAGGGTCAATGTCAAATCCCCTACCCTTCCCCAGGACCCAAGGGGTGGGGGTATCAATTGACTAGTGCATTAAAAAGGATGGTGGTATTTGTCAGAAATTTTGAAGAGAATCCCTAAGAGGTAAAAAGATCCTGTTTTGTGGGCATGGTTTGAAATTTTTTTCACCCCCCTAGAGGTACCAATTCTAAAACAAAACATTATCTCCTGTCATATTTTTTTGGTTTAATACCCTAAAAGGTACCATGAAAACCACCGATGTGGACCTTTTGAGGATGAACACCCAAGAGGCACCAAAACTGCTTTTTTAACCCGTAAAAAGTACGACAAGCACCCCATCCTTTTAAAATGAGTCCCCTGGGGGACTCATATAGCAGCAATGTTTTATAGTTTATAGCAGCAATGCAAGACCAAAGCGAATGGGAATTACTTTGGACACTTAAGAGAAAACTGCTCCAAATTACTATAAAGGAATCATTCGGTGAAGTTATCTTCAACATTCCAACATCTTTTTACTCGTGTCATCTGATCCACATTTCTTCAAAATCTTCCAAGATTCATCAGTTATCTGGTTACCATTTTCTGCCCTTTACAGCAGTCCCAGTTGATTAGCAATGCCAGATCTGAGTGAACGTCTCTGGTATCCTCTTCCCTTCCTTTTTTGTCAGAAAAACCAAGGTACAAAATTGTTTGAAGAGAATTATCCCTGGAGAAAATGCTCTCCAAAGTCGACACCTACTTCCTTCAAAGTCTTGATCCATCAGTGGTTACATTTGTCATAAGTGTACTTGGAAGACTTTCAGAATGGAATGTTTGTTTCTGCACTTCCACCACACATTATTTGGATTTTTAGTAGAAAGGCAACAATTTGAATCCTTGGGTCATCTAAGGTAGTAATCAATAGCAGTAGAAAATGCTGCAAATCCAAGTGCACCCATGACAGCTGCTTTTCCACCAGCTGTAGACAAAAGAAAAAAAAACTGTCACTTTAAACTCATCCCGATAGATTTGATTGGATAAAGTACCTTAAATATGGCAAAGCCAAGCATGATTTGGGAGCAAATCAGCACAAAGTGAAACAACAAAGTGCAGATCTGCCCATAGGTGATAGCTGGAACATAAAACAAGTAAAGCCCCTGCAAATCCCCTTAACAGCAAACATGTTGTTTATGGTTATCAGAACCACTGACCAAAATTAAATTGAGCGTAACTTAGTGTAAATTCAATTTAATTAGCCAAATTGAAATAACAAGAATGGCTGAAATGAAAATTGGGAAGTAAAAAGATTGCTAAAATGAACCTTAAAACATTTAGGCTAGGTTTTTCAAGACGCACAAATGAAGAAGCTAGTCATAAAAGGGGATAAGTGACGATTTTGGTTGCTTTTCTTTTTTCTTGCTC